CAGCCTGGCAACAGAGTAAGACTCCATCTCAAAAAAAAAAAAAAAAAAAAACCAAAAAACAACAACAAAAACTTTTTAAAGGTTCATTGTCTTAGCTAAATGAAATTAATTCATAAATGATTATTATAATATGCAGTCACAGAAATATCTGGTGGTTAAAACTTGTTTCTAGCCGGGTACAGTGGCTCACACCTGTAATACTAGCACTTTGGGAGGCCAAGGCAGGTGAATCACCCAAGGTCAAGAGTTCGAGACCAGCCTACCCAACATGGAGAAACCCCGTTTCTACTAAAAATAGAAATTTAGCTGGGCCTGGTAGTGCATGCCTGTAATCCCAGCTACTTGGGTGGCTGAGGCAGGAGAATTGCTTGAACCTGGAAGGCGGAGGTTGTGGTGAGCTGAGATTGTGCCATTGTACTCCCACCTGGGCAAAAATAGTGAAACTCTATCTCAAAAAAAACCAAAAACTTGTTTCTAATTTATCATGTTACTGAAGCATTAAAACTGTAAATTGTTTGGAGTTTAAATTTGTTTGTAGTTAAAAACACTAACATGTAAGAACACTGTATATTTCTTCTCACAGATGCTGTCCCTTTTACCAGCAAGGATTATCAGACTACTGGAATTTATTGGATTTTCTGGAAACAGGGTACACATTTAATATTATCTTAATTTTGACAGGGAAGATAAAACATTATTTATTGAATATGAGGGCAGTGCAACATGTCCTCATAACTAGCTTAATAATTATTGGCAATTTGTTTGCAGGACAGAAAATAAGCCTTTGATTCTTGATCATAATTTTCAGGAGTTAGACAGTTTTTCTGTTGAAAGTTAAAAATGTTCACCCTTGTTACCCAAATTCTGGGATAAAAAATTACGTGTTGCTAATATTGTTGCTTGCCAGATCTTATTACTCTCACGTGGCTTCCTATGCCTTCTAATAGTTGAGCAGCCCCAGAGCTGTCCTCCTTAAGACGAAGAAATTAGGCTGGATTTCCCTAATATTTTACGATTTTCATGGCTCAAACACCATGGACCCAACATAATTGCACTATTTTGGATTTCCATGTGTTTCTACAAGTTTGTTTATAAAACTCAGTGTGGAAATTTGTTTGCCATGAGTTTTATTTATTAAATCTCTGTGTGTTTGTGGTTTTGTAGTGAGTATATCACATTTATTAACCATAACACTCAATATGGTATTACAAGAGTTACCGCAAAAAGCGTTGATTAAAAAAGCAGGTTTTGAGAAATGTATGAGAGCAAGTGTAAACAGCTATCACTTTTTCCTGTTTATTGTACTGTGCGTGTTCTCTGCGAGTTATTGTGTATTTATGGTGCTTCCTTTATGATATTGTCTATTCTGACGCTGTGTTCCAACCCTTCTCCTTAAGCATTCAACTTCTACCTGATTCCTTGAGGGGCTCTAAATTGTTTCTCGAATAAAGTTCAAACTTGTATGGCTTCAAGGACCCCATGATCTGATTCTAGCCAGTGTTTCCAGCCATACTACCCCTATTCCACACATTCCCAGTACTCTTGTTAAACTGGGCAATTGGTTGTTCCCCAGCAAGGTCTATGCTTTTGTTTCCATGCTTTTGCTTTTCTGTGCTTTGGATATCTTTCCCAACTGACTTCCTCCCTAATAATTGTCTCTCAAGAGCCCCTCCATCCACTAGGGTTGAGATAAATGCCATCTGTCTCACAAAGCTGTCCTTCATACTCCTTCAGTGAGGCCAAAGCATTCCTGACTTTCAGAATTATCTATTTATCCTTCTTCCATCTCTCACCATATTCTAATAAGGTCATGTGTTCACATACTCTCTTCTCTATTTGATGGAAAGATCTTTGAATACATAGACCATGTTTGTTCACACCCACCATAATGCCTTGCACTTAGATCCTCATACGTTTTAATGAGTATTTCTACAGAGTATCTCCATGAAATGAACACGGCCCTTTTCTCTCTTTAGAATCACATGACATAAAAGGAGTTATGAGAGTGTCTTAGGCCAGTTAAATATATAAGGTCCATTTCTAGTTAGGCATTACTACCATTCTAATTTCTTTTTTTTTTTTTTTTTTTGGGAGGAGGTTTCTCACGTTTTCCAGGCTGGAGTGCAATGGCGTGATCTCGGCTCACCGCAACCTCCGCCTCCTGGGTTCAGGCAATTCTCCTGCCTCAGCCTCCTGAGTAGCTGGGATTACAGGCACGCACCACCATGCCCAGCTAATGTTTTGTATTTTTAGTAGAGACGGGGTTTCACCATGTTGACCAGGATGGTCTCGATCTCTTGACCTCGTGATCCACCCGCCTTGGCCTCCCGCCTGGCCATTCTAATTTCTTGAAGAAATTCTGCCTTCATGGAGGATAAGGATATATGAACTAGCATTTTAAAGTTTCTGACTAGGCCAGGCATGGTGGCTCACACCTTAAACCCAGCACTTTGGGAAGCTGAGGCGGATGGATTGCTTGAGCCCAGGAGTTTGAGAGCAGCCTGGGTAACATGTTAGAATCCTATCTCTACAAAAAATATAAAAATTAGCTGGGGCCGGGCGCGGTGGCTCAAGCCTGTAATCCCAGCACTTTGGGAGGCTGAGGCGGGTGGATCACGAGGTCAAGAGATCGAGACCATCCTGGTCAACATGGTGAAACCCCGTCTCTACTAAAAATACAAAAATAGCTGGGCATGGTGGCACGTGCCTGTAATCCCAGCTACTCAGGAAGCTGAGGCAGGAGAATTGCCTGAACCCAGGAGGCGGTGGTTGTGGTGAGCCAGGATCGCGCCATTGCACTCCAGCCTGGGTAACATGAGTGAAACTCCGTCTCAAAAAAAAAAAATTAGCTGGGCGTGGTGGTATACACCTGTAGTCACAGGTACTTGGGAGGCTGAGGTGGGAGGATCACCTGAGTCTGGAGAGGTAGGGTATGCAATGAACCCTGATTGTGCCACTACACTCCAGCCTGGACAGCAGAGCAAGACTCTGTCTCAAAAAAAAAAAAAAAAATAAAGTTTCTAAATAGAAAGTCAAATACCACATGTTTTCACTTATAAATGGGAGCTAAACAATGATACACATGGACATAAAGAATGGAATAATAGACACTGGAGGCTACCAAAGGTGGGAGGGGTGGGGGAAGAGGGGGTTGAAAAATTGCCTTTTGGGTATACTGTTCACCCTCGGGATGAGGGGTACACTAAAAGCCCAGACTTCATCACAGTGTAGTATACGCTTGTAAGAAATCTGCACTTATAACCCTTGAAATATATAAAAATGTTTGAAAAGTTTCTGAATATGACTTTCCAGTCATATTTTCTTTCTAAAATGTATTTAATTCCCATAGGAGCTGGGCCTCCTGCACTTACGGGAAGGTGCTTCAGGAAGAAGCATGAGGTCTGTATTGTGCTGCTTAACCATCCTCGCTTTTCACACCTACGTCTCCCTAATACTCGGTAAGATCTGGGCGAGATTGTTTCATTGAACATTGATGATCTTGGCCAGGCGTGAAGGGTTACACCTGTAATCCCAGCTACTTGGGAGGCTGAGGTGGAAGGATCACTTGAACCCAGGACTTTGAGGCTACAGTGAGCTATGGTCACGTCACTGCACTCCAGCCTGGGCGACAGAGCAATCTCCTGTCTCCAGATTAAAAAATGAAACAAAACAAAAAGTTGATTAATCTGAGTATGTAAAAATTTAGAAAGATCAGCAAGAGCTAGTAGTTTATGTCTGTATACTTTTTTTTTTTTTTAATAAAGGTAGAAAATAGTGTCCTTTGTCTTCGTGACATTTAGCAGAGGGAGTAGGTAGTTTCTTTCATTAAATAATTTTCATCTGTTCTCAGCTAAAATTTCTGTGTTAAGATGATCTATTTTATCATATATTAGATTTATTTTCTTTGAAAAAAATGAAATTTTTGCTAAATAAGTTATTATTGCCATTAGAACCAGAAATTCCAGTTAGGAATCTGAGAAAGCCACCTGCATTCTTAAGAATTAGTGTGTCCTAGAGCTTTCTTAAACTAAAGTTATAGGTGAGACTGGTCTTTATTTTATTCCCTAGATATAAACATGATGAAATAATAGTTTTCATCTTTTCCATGAGTAGGTCTTTATTTACTATATGTTAATGAAATTTGGAGAGTTGGTTATAAATATCCCCATGTCTTATGAAGACTGAGGCTTTTCCTGTTAAATTTCTAGGTACAGGAGAAGTGAATATTGCCGAAGCAGAGCGTCTCCTGGCACCCTTCCTCCAGGAGTTTCCAAATGTATGCTTAGTATTTCAAAATGTATGTTTCATCCATAATTAATCAGCCAGTGTTGACTGTTGAATGGTGTGTTTTCTTCTTTGCTCTGCAGGGCTCACTCATGTTGTTTTATCATGCCCGAATAGAGTTGCTGAAAGGGAATCTTGAAGAGGTAATTTATTAGGTGGGAGTTGTTTGGGGGAGTTGTCTGTATGGTGGAATTGCGTCCTACTCATCCAACAAAAGTAAACTTAGCTCTATGGACTAGACAAAAATAAAGAAAAAAATATATAAGTAAAAAGCCAAAACTTTAAAGTGTATATACATTCTGTTATATAAAATCTGTGCAGTGGATTACTGAATGTAGCCTACATTTCTACACAGAATACATTAAGTACTTTAGGGTAGTATATACCAAATAATAAGCTCAGAGATTTTCAAGAAACTGTGACTGTTATCAATTTCTGTATTATACACTGACTTTGGAATCTAGACCCTGCATGAGATGCAAGTCTACTTACTACATGTGGGCTCCTTATCAAAGGAAATTGTTTTCCAATTCTCTCAAAAAAGGAAGCATCGGAGTCATAAGTAGAAAAGTAAGGAGCCATTTATATATATATACCTTCACAAACAATTTTTTCCACACAAATGGGATCAAACATGTATTTTTCTGTGATTTGTGTTTTTCTGTTTACAATACGTCTTGGATCTCTTTCCAGGTCAGTATACCTAAATGTCTCCGATTCTTTTTGGTGGTTGGGTTTCATTTCATGGGATGGATATACTATACCTATTGAAGTGGTCTGCTGTTCATAGGCATTTGGCCACTACAAACTGTTGTAAACATCATTGTATGTATATTTCTGTGCATAGGTCTGTTTATAGATGGCAGATTATGATTAGTAGAATTCCTGGACCAAAATGTGCTGGTATTTTTATAAATCCAGCCAAATTGCCCTCCTCACTTAAGATCGTTCCAATGTAAACTCCAGTGAAGGTATAAAAATATTTGTTTCCAGTGCTCTTTGCCAGCTCAGGACATTATGTGATGACTTAGAATCGAATTTTTAAGTTTATATTGCCTAGTTTACAAATTTCTCCACATGTATATCTGTCATTTGTACATATTTTTTTTCTGATTTGCCTATTTACATTTTTGCCAATTTCCTGTTGCATTTTCTTTTTCTTACAGAATTTTATTTAGTTGTTGAATGATAAAAGGGTTAATCTTTTGCCAGTTATGTAGATAGTGACATCTTCTTCCTGTCTGTTGCCTGTAACTTTGCTCATGGTGTTTTGTTGTGTGGAAGTTGTAACTTTATTGTCAGTCTTTTCTTTAATGACTTTTACATTTGATATCTTCCTTGGAATGGAACTTCCCCACTCCCACATTATAAAGTGTCAAGGCCTCCTCATAAAATTAAAGAAAGAGGCAGAACTTAACTGAACCATTGCCTGTAAGGAAAAAATACATATAGTTATTGAGAGGTTTAATGAGTGATAATTTTGTCCTTTTTGTACTGACAGTTTTATGCATTTTTCATTAGGCTATTATCTCCTTGTCTAATATCTGGATGATCAACTTTACGCAATTGATTTACAGGCACAAGAAGTATTTCAAAAATGTGTTTCAGTTCAAGAAGAATGGAAACAGATTCACCATCTCTGCTACTGGGAGCTAATGTGGATTAATGTTTTCCAACAAGACTGGATGCAAGCTTATTACTATTCAGATCTGCTTTGCAAAGAGAGTAAATGGTCCAAGGTAAAGGGCAGTACTTTCATTAGTGGCTTCTGTTTGCTAATATGTGGCCAGAATGATTTTCTTTTAGGACTGTTTGTTCAATAGTATGATCCCACAGTGCTTTCTCAATTTAGAGATACATGAAAGGAGGAAATTTGCCCTAAGTACCTACCATTTATTGGTACTGTCCTCAGCATGACATTCTTTAAAAGCCATCCACAGTTCTTTTTAGGGCCAAACACAATGGCCCACGCCTGTAATCCCAGCCCTTGGGAGGCTAAGGCAGGAAGATCACTTGAGGCAGTTTTATACTAGCCAGGGCAACACAGTGTGATTTTATCTCTACGAAAAGTAAAACCATTAACCAGGCATGGTGGTGTGTGTCTATAGTCCCATCTATGTGGGAGGCTGAGGCAGGAGGATAGCTGGAGTCTAAGCATTTGAGGCTGTAGTGAGCTATGATCACACCACTGCACTGCAGCCTGGTGGCAGAGCGAGACCTTGTCTCAAACAAAAACAAAAAGTTAGCCGGGCGCGGTGGCTCAAGCCTATAATCCCAGCACTTTGGGAGGCCGAGGCGGGGGGATCACGAGGTCAAGAGATCGAGACCATCCTGGTCAACATGGTGAAACCCCGTCTCTACTAAAACTACAAAACATTAGCTGGGCATGGTGGCGCGTGCCTGTAATCCCAGCTACTCAGGAGGCTGAGGCAGGAGAATTGCCTGAACCCAAGAGGCGGAGGTTGCGGTGAGCCGAGATCGGGCCATTGCACTCCAGCCTGGGTAACATGAGTGAAACTCCGTCTCAAAAAAAACAAACAAACAAACAAAAAAAAAGTTATTTTAAACATGAAGTTTTATCTTTAAAAATTAATTGTACTTATAAAGTTATGAAATCTTAATCATCTTGATAATTTTGTTTGGGCTTCCCAGTGCCCTGATGCCCAGGCTTTTCATGATAATGAAAATTATTTCTGATCCACTTATGAGAAGTTGGGGACAATGAGATAATTTTTTCTTGTCCATTCTGCCCACTTTCTCACCTATGAATGCTGTAGTTGTATAATAGGAAAATGGTCTAAATTATTGATAATTGAAAAGAGTTGTTTTCATTTTGAACAGGCAATGTAAGATTTCATTTCGCCGGGCGCGGTGGCTCACGCCTGTAATCCCAGCACTTTGGGAGGCCGAGGCGGGTGGATCACGAGGTCAAGAGATCAAGACCATCCTGGTCAACATGGTGAAACCCCGTCTCTACTAAAACTACAAAAAATTAGCTGGGCATGGTGGCGCGTGCCTGTAATCCCAGCTACTCGGAAGGCTGAGGCAGGAGAGTTGCCTGAACCCAGGCGGCGGAGGTTGCGGTGAGCCGAGATCGCGCCATTGCACTCCAGCCTGGGTAACAAGAGCGAAACTCTGTCTCAAAAAAAAAAAAAGATTTCATTTCCTCTGATTTCTTTAATGCCTCTTAATACTATACCTGGAAGACTTGTAGGTGATTCCTGATTTGAAAGGTAGAAACGTCATGTACCTAGGGATGTTCTGTAATAAGCTCCTTCTTTTTCCCAAGGCAACTTATGTGTTCTTGAAAGCTGCAATTTTAAGCATGCTTCCAGAGGAGGATGTGGCAGCAACTAATGAGAACGTGGTAACTTTATTCAGGTATGCGAGACACTATTTCTATTAACAAAGGCCCTGAGGGTATAAAGGGGTGAAACTCCATCTTTACTAAAAAATATAAAAAATTAGCTGGGCACGTGGTGGCATGTGCTTGTAGTCCCAGCTACTTGGGAGGCTTAGGTGGGAGGATTGGTTGAGCCTGAAAGGTGGAGGTTGCACTGAGCTCAGATAACACCACTGCACTGCAGCCTGGGCGACAGACAGAGTGAGACCTTGTCTCCAAAAAAAGACCATGTATACTAACCAGCATCAGCATCAACATTAGTAGAAGCCATGGTATGATAAATGTCACCTTTTACCGTAAAGTTCATTTTCTCATTTCACAGAAACAATTAATGGGAGTATTAAGATACACTAAAATCTTTTCAATCTCCTTCTCTTTCTTCCACTGCAGATTAAGCTTTCTCCATATCAAAACAATTTTTGTGAAAGATGTAATCATTTTATTATCAGGAGAAAGCTTTGAGGTGCTCTTTCATAGCTTCTAGGTTGTTGGGATAATGAGAGTTCTAAAATGAATGGTCTCTTCATAAAGATGCTGTTACCTTTAAACTACAAGGGTTCCTGTCTGAGACATGGTTCTGACCCCTTCCTCCTGACCCCCACCTCACATTTCCACCACCTTGAACATAAATGATGGGACACTCTAGTTTAAAGCCCATAACTCTATATTATGCCTAGAAGTAACCTAACAGAAGCTTGCCTCATATTGGGGCATATTATTTCATGTTACTTTTTCTTTTCGTCATGCAATTGAGTATTTCCTTGAATTCTTTCTCAGCAACTTGTTTGATGCATTCATAAAATTATGTATAAGAAAGTATTCCTGGGAACGTGTAGTCTCCCCATCCTACTCTCATTTTTACCTGCTTGTGAATTTTGTAATTGGAATTCTTTAGAATTTTGAAAAGAAGTTTGTATACATGGTACATGTCCTAAGCTGATTATTTCCCAAACCACCTGTGCTTAGGAAACATTTCTTAAATTATACATTAATTAATGGCTATCTTTTGAGCCATATTGTTTTTGTAATACCTGCAAATAGGAATAGGAGATATAGCAGTGTACCATCTTCGCTCTCCCTGAGCGTCCACAACATAAGTAAATACTTTGGACTCTTTCCTGCTTACTCCTAGAAATCGCCAATTTCATACCTAGATTTCCTGGAGTGTGTTTAAGACATTAGCTAAGTTGACTGGAAAGAAATATGTGTCAATCAGTGGTTCTCGATCTGAGTGTGCCTCAGAATGACCTGGAGGGCTTATCAAAATCCAGATTTCTTGGCCCCAGCCCTGGAGTTGCTGATTCAGTAGGTCTAGAGTAGAGCCTGAAAAATGGCATTTCAAACAGCTTCCCAGGTGATGCTGCTGCTGCTGCTGGTGGTGGTGGTGTTGGTCTGTGATGTTCATTGTGACAATCACAGGTGTAAATAATGTATGTGTTGCCATGATCTTTCTCTGGGGCTGGGCTGGGGCTCTTCACAGACAGGTGGAGAGCTTGAAACAGAGAATTGCCGGGAAATCTCTCCCTACTGAGAAGTTTGCTGTGAGGAAGGCTCGCCGTTACTCCGCTTCCTTGCCTGCACCTGTGAAGCTCGTCTTACCTGCCCTGGTATCTGCTTTGATTTTATTTACTTTTCATATACTAGAAATAAATTATCTACTCACAGCAGCAGGGAGCATGGGAGCATATCTAAATTTGGTTATGAAGTTTAGCTCAATTAAAAATCATTGTAAGGCAGGGTGCGGTGGCTGATGCCTGTATTCTCAGCACTTTGAGAGGCCAAGGTGGATGGATCACAAGGTCAGGATTTCAAGACCAGCCTGACCAACATGGTGAAATCCCGTCTCTACCAAAAATAAAAAAATTAGCTGTGTGTGGTGGCAGGTGCCTGTAATCCCTACTTGGGAGGCTGAGGCAGGAGTATAGCTTGAATCCAGGAGGTGAAGGTTACAGTGAGCCAAGATCACGCCACTGCACTCTAGCCTGGGCAGCAAGAGCAAAACTCCATCTCAAAAAAAAAAAAAGAAATACTGAATATATCAAGTTACTGTGACTCTTCTGGTACTTTAGTTTTTGTATAGATAGCACAGGAAAGCTGTTCAGTGTAAGCTGATGCTGCGGTCCTCCCCTCTGGTGCTTCCTGAGGGTTTTTTGTTTTTGTTTATTTTTAAAAATTCAGAGTTTATTTCATTATTTCTCTTTGACAGTTATTTAGGTTTTTCTGGTTTTTACAATTAAAAACTAACATGAATATCCTCTTTTTGTACATGTGCATATAATTCTCTAAGAAGAGTTTTTTTTTTAATGGAATTCCTAGTTGAAGGGAATATATACATTTACTATTTTGGTAGATATTGTCAAATTTCCCTCCAAGAAAAGCTCTGCCAATTTAAATAAGTACTGACGGTGTTTTACCATTTTAATTTGCATTTCCCTGTTGATGTGGTGGAGCATCTTTTCATGTGTTTCTTCATTTTTATTTATTCTTGTGTGAATTGTTGTTTATATTCTTCCCTAATTTTTCATTGGATTGTTTACTGTTTTCTTAATGACTAATGAGAGCCCTTTATACATAGAAATAAAGAACAATGCAGCCCCTCCCTGACAGGGGTCAGACAGGAGTTAGCCTGAGCCTAGCACCTAGGTCCATGTGTTTCCTACCTAACGTAACCTCAGAGAACTTCAGCATCAGATAGCGTCCTTCTGTGACTGTGATGGAGCAAGATAAAAATATGACCACTCTGTAATCGTGTCTGAGCACAAATAGAAATTACACAAGATTTGTGTAAGTCACACAACCAAACATCTCCCTCTCCCAGCTCACATGAGAACCTGCTGCTGCTTTACCAATGATCGCTGTAGCTCCATGCCTGATTCATTTTTATTAAGTGATTTGTACTGGGAAGGTTTTCTGTCTCACAGAAGTCTACTGACAATTTTCTAGAATACTGTTGTCTTTCTTTGCCTAGTACTTAGATACCAGTATGTATGTAACTGTGTCCTGCTTTGACTATTAAGAATCTTAGCGAAGGTTAACTCACTACACTTCTTTCTCCGTGTCTGTGGGTACAGAATATACAGGAAATTGGCTTGAAATGTTGATACTGGGATTTTTTTTTTTTCGTACCTAGGAATTTTGCCAAAAGCCTGTTTTTCATTAAGTCTCAGATATGGACTTGCCTCCTTCTGATAAAAAGATTCCATCAATAAAAATAATTTTTAAAAGGTCATCATCATCAGTTTAAAAAATATTCTGTTCTTGAATTGAGCTCTTATTCTTTTAGCAAGAAGAAATTTTTACATGTAAAATTGAAGGTAGAGTGTCCTGATCTTAGTTTTCAGTGTGAGGTAATGATACCTTTGTCTCCATTCTCCCTGAGTGTTTCATCCTCATTTCCACTACTTCCTGGTAATAGGCTTTTCAAGTGATATTTTATCATCTTAAAATTTATTTCCATGAAGATACTAATTACTCTGCTTATTTCATACCGTTCAAAATATGAACTACGCTATCAGGAACATTAGAAAAATATTTTCAAGCGAAAGCACGTTTGCTTTTGATCCAAAAAAATTCTCATCTGGTAGCCCATTAAATATAATCTGCAATGAGAAATCATTAGTTTACATTTTAGGATCTGTCATTCAGCCATATGGCTTTTAAACGAATACGTTTTCTGCATATTGGATTGCATTACTGGACTGTCACATGTTTCTAATGGTATAAAAGATCCTAAGCCCAGTAAAATATTCCAATGTTTATATCCAGTGATATTCTTGGAAACATTTTATGTAAACGACTGGCAGACATTTAAAAATATTTTTCTTTACTTAAAAGTAATAAAAGTTTACATTAAACAGAATTATTCGTAGTATCGGTTTAAAATGTTTATTTCTGTAAGTGTATCCTATTACCTTCTAAAAGAATTACATGCTTGTAGATATTTAATAAATATTTGCTATATGTATGAATAAATTAAAATTTCAGTGAAAACACACATACTGAATTACTGCACAGTATAAAAGGCAAAAGCAAAGGAAAATGATCTGTAAATATTGTCTTGAGATTCCTAGAAACCAAGGCAAAACATGTGAACATCGTTTTGGGATCATAAAGGACACTGAATAACCTCGTATAACTGCAAATCGTTTCCATTTTTTCTCATTAGGAAATGATGTATGTCTGGAATGGTTTTTCAGTAGTGAGCAAAAGGAAAGACCTTTCTGAAAATCTGTTGGTAACTGTCGAAAAAGCTGAGGCAGCTTTACAAAATCAAAGTAAGTATGCAAAGTAAGCACCAAGGAGTCTTTGTCTCTGCTCCGTGACCACTCTCCTGTCTTTTCCCTGTGCACATCTGCCTGTATTAATTTTTGTACATTATAAGGACAAAGAACTTGAGCTGCAGGGGTCTGGGTGATTGCAGTCCAGATGCAGGGAGGAATCATACACGCTGCAACTACATGAGCCTTGGAAACATCTTGCTAAGGGAGAAAAGCCAGCCTTAAAAGAGCATACATTGTATGATTCCATTAAAAGTGATACTCAGAATAGACAAATCTATAAAGACAGACAGTAGATGAGTGGTTGCCTAGGGATGGAGGTTGGAAGTTAGGGATTATGATGGGGAGGGAGGTGATGAAAATGTTCCACAGTTGACTGTGGTGATGGCTGTACAACTCTGTAAATATGCTAAAAACCATTGAATGGTACATTCCCAATGGGTGGATTGTATGTTATGTGACTGTATCTTAAAACTGTGACAAAAAGATGAACGGAGGAAGCCCAGCATTGGAGTTTTAGAGCAGCACAAGGAAATACCCACTTCCCTCTGGGTTGAGTTTGCTGTGACTCTTTTTTTTCCTTTCTCTTTTCTGTTTTTCTTTTCTTTTCTTTTAGATAGAGTCTTACTCTTTCATCCAGGCTGCAGTACAGTGGTGTGATTTTGGCTCATTGTTACCTCCACCTCCTGGGTTCAAGCAATTCTCTTGCCTTAGCCTCCTGAGTAGCTGTGATTACAGGCACACACCACCACGCCTGGCTAATTTTTGTATTTTTAGTAGTGACAGGGTTTCACCATGTTGGTCAGGCTGGTCTCTGAACTCCTGACCTCAAATAATCCACCTGCCTCGGCCTCCCAAAGTCCTAGGATTACAGGCATGAGCCACCGCGCCTGGCCTGGTGTGACTCTATGCCTCCTTATTGCTGTCTAACAGTTAGTGTGTTTCTGCAGACCCAGGGAATAGTTTTTAAGGTAAAATGTTATCACAGTTTATTCTACCCACTATGTTCGGCTGTGCTAGAGGCCACATTTCAGTTGACTGGGAGCAGCTGATGTGGTAAGAGGAGAATCATGTGGTCTGGGCTTATAGTCCCAGCTCTGCAGCCATCAGACTCTGGGTAACCCATCTGTTTTCTTGGGAAGTGGGAGGAATGTTGGACCAGATGCTATCCAGCGTTGTTGCCTTGCCCTGACATTTTTTGATTCTGTATTTTTAATGGGGGTAAACAATGCCATAAGTGATAGCCTTTGTTGTATTTATTTTCAGTGCCAAATCACTTAGGTATTATCCCAAGATAAATGGTCTTATCTTTTGTAATATTCTAACCACAGAAGTAAAATGAAAACTTCTGTGATGATAAACATGGTAAAGGGCATAGAAATTCAGGAATGGTGGGGGAAAATTATAACAGTTAACTAATTTTTCTTAACTGGGAAAAGATGGGCACTCCAGGAGCCCAGCCACTGTCTATTTGAGCAAGCTCTTCACTTCCCCCAACCCCCTATTTATTCCCTCCACTGGTTGAGGGCAAAATTAGAGGGGAAATATATTTTATCAGACTATGCAAATAAAATACAGTGGAAATTTAGAAAACCAAGTCGCTCTCTTCCACCCATTCTTTTTTCTCTTAATGACATGCTGAGATGATAGGCTTTCGAGATATTTAAGCAGGCAGTGGGGAGCTGAGACAGACAAAGACAGTCATGTCATACTTACTCACAGTTTTGGCTTTGTGTGTCTTCTCTCTGGATGAAAGAATTAGTTTATTTTCTGAAGATCACCTTTGCCAGATATTGCACGTGACACTTATGATGACCTCTTCTAGGACTTATTTTCTGCAAGAAGATTATCTCCTGCTCTCCTCCCCACGTCAAACTGTTAGGACAGCTTAGTAATTAAGCACCTATCCTTCAGAGCAGGGAAGAAAAGTCCATATTTGGAAAATGGAGAGAAGTTGTAAACTTGAGGTTACATCATCTTCCACCCCATCCCCTGCCCCATTATTGGAAATTGGATGTGCATTTGCCTCCCCTAGCTTTGCAAGTGTGTCTGAAGTAAAAGATGGTGGAGGATACAACTGATCTTCTACTCTGCAATGCTCTGGCTGTAGTTATTAAATGCTGGTCACTGATACAAAAGATAGAGCTTTGAAGACAGCACAGAAGTTGGTGACATCCCTGGAGTCAGCATTTGGTATTAATTCCGATAGTGTTTCATTTGAAATCTAACTAAATTCAACATGTAGCCAGAAGTTCCACTTTGACTAATTTGTTTAATAAAATTATATAGCAAACATTAAGAGAGTTATGTAAAAGGGAAAGTGATGCTGACTTTATGACTTTTTACTTTCTATATTTATTTTCAGATTTTTCTCTTGGGGGCGTTTCAGCTAGCTTCTAAAAATTTCAACATAGATACTTTTTGTAGTTTGGGCTTCAAACTTCCCTGTTTCTCAGCCTATCCACTATAAAAGTTCAGCAGATCTTTTGTTATAAAATTGTACTACGGCAGCTTTATCATGTAATTTTCTTTGAATGTAAAATGGAAACACATTACTTGTGTGTTGTGTGTTATGTTCATTTATGAACACGTTCATGAGGTTGAAAATCATGACAAAGCATTTATACTTTAACGGAAAACAGTCATCTGATAGATAATGGTCTGGAATTTGAGGAAATAACGATTTTGCTATCTGAGATTTTTGGAGAAATACAGCATTTTTGAGCCTACTTGCCATATGCCTAACTCAAGTTTGACATAGAAGTTACATGTGGCTTTACTGGTATTTTAACTTCCCATGATGTTGTCTCTTCCTCAACAAAATCGTCATTCATTGAGCACCAGAATGTTGTGATAACATAAACTGTCAATACAATGCTACAGGAAACTCAGTAGAATGTACAAAAATGATACTAAAAGGTAGCATCCAATATGGACCTTTGGTTTTGGTTCTAGGTCCTAAAATATATTACTTCTCTAATGTCTATTTTAACATCCGTGATTAAAAGCAATGGATAGAATTTTATTTTGGTAGAAAGATGATTCTAAATAAATTATAGAAAAGATAATTTGTTATTGATACCTGTGATTTTTCTGGGTGAGTGACCTATCAGGGCATGAAAGTTAGAGGTGAATATTCAGTTTTTAACACCTAGAAGTAAAGTGAGTTAATCTCCATAGACAAGTGGTTTACCATCTCAGCTGCCAGCGCATGTGAATGATGATTTTTGAGCTTTGTGCTGAAAGCAGGATTTCAATAGGAGGGACTCCCAGGGCCTCGTGCTTTCCCTTTACTGCCATCTTCTCTACTGTCACAGCCTGAAATGTGAAATTACCAGTCTGTCTTGGAATGACTTTGTACTTGCCTATAACTTGCAAAAAAATTTCAGAAGTGTAAACGTGGAATGGCTACCTTTGTCAGATAGATGTCACACATAATATGGTTCCTTCTGTTTAACACACATTTGCCTTCGGCTGTAGAAAGCAGAGAGCATTTTCAAAAGTGAAAAATGCAAGAAAATCCTTGACATTTTCCTCAAACAGAAGTTTGTGGAGATTTTAGGTGCCTTTCATGCACTTCAGAACCGTTTTGTTTTATGGTATAATTTTCCCCAAAAAGAACACAACCTGAGAGAATTGATAAGTTGTAAACATAATGATCTGGAGAGGGTATTCTACTTCCTGAATTTTTAATAGGGATAAGGCCATCTGCTTCTCCATATGGAAGCGTTATCCTCTCCTGTATTGAAGCCAACACCGAAGCCAGACAACAGGAGGAAGCAGCCTCCTTGTTCCCCATGGCTTTACCTTTTATAGAATTAATAAAGTTCTTACTTTATTTAGAGTTCAGATTTCTGGTTGTTGTATCTAAGGTCACAAAGCTCAGAGTGTGGCCACCTGAAGAATATTTTAAGGTGGATAGAGTGAACTCCTTAATCAAATGATGTTTTTATATAGTAAATACAGCATGTAAGAATGTATGTGTGTATCAGATGGGGTCTTGTTCTTTCACCCAGGCTGCAGTGCAGTGGTGCCGTCATAGCTCACTGCAGCCTCCAACTGATGGGCTCAAGTGATCTTCCTGCCTCAAGCTCTCAGCAGCTGGGACTACAGGCATGTGCCATCATGCCCAGTAATTTAAAAAAAAAATTTGTGTAGAGACAGGGTCTCACTGTATTGTCCAGGCTGGTCATGAACTCCTGGGCTCAAGTGATCCTCCCACCTTGACCTCCCAAAGCACTGGGATTACAGGTGTGAGCCACTGTACTCAGTTCTTTTCATTTAAAATGATTTCATTGTATTTTATTTAGTAAGGCATAACAAATGCTAAAAATATTTTCCTTGTTTTTAAATGATCCCTCTGAAACTTTGTTCTTTCTCTTAAGATCTTAAAAAGTATTTTTCTTTGTATGTTTTTTGTTTTAAGATTTTAACAGCTTCTCTGTGGATGATGAGTGTTTAGTGAAGTTACTGAAAGGATGTTGCCTCAAGAACTTACAGCGGCCCTTGCAAGCTGAACTATGTTACAATCACATTTTGGAAAGGTAAAACCAAACAATAAAACCAACCTGAGTGCAAATTGTGGTTTCTAGGGAATTGCTGTGAGAAAGTGATGCAAAATGCTTTTCTCTCTTACTGCTGAACTTTTACTTGGTGTTACAAGAAAGAGAATCCAGTAGTGTTTTTTGTTGTTGTTCCTCATGAACAAAATTATGGTCTAGGTGTAACATGGCTTTATGTATTTCTAGTTGGTGTTTAAAGATGACTGACTCACAAAAACTATATTTAAAGCTGAACTAACAGATGTCTAGCCAAACTCTGGCAGCAGCATACTGAACCTCTGCTACTCATTAATTTTTAAAAATGTTTTAATATATTTCTTTAGTTTTTGTTTTCTTTCTTTCTTTTCTTTTTTTTTTTTTTTTTTTAGGAGATGGGGGACTTTTCTTGTTGCCCAGACTGGAGCACAGTAGTACAATCATGGCTCACTGCAGCCTGGAACTCCTGGGCTCAAGAGATACTCACACCTCAGCCTCTTGAGTAGCTGGGACTACAGGTGTGCGCCACCATACCTGGCTTCTGATACTAATTTAATTCTTGCGTTTGTTTGTTCATTCATTTATTCCACGGATCTTTGACCACCCACTGTATGCCAGAGACTGTACTGGATTCTAGGGATTCAGAGCTGAGTAAACAGAGTTGCCATCACCATGGTAATAATTTGGCAGGAAAGAGTGGCATGTAACTGTCTTTTGGCAAAGGGCAGTTCTTTGGTATATAATTGAGTTTTGTTTTGGTTTTATTTCCTCCCAGTGGCATTGATGATGATGTCCTGCTCTATTACTAACCACAGAGTTGAATCAAGGTTCTAATGCCTGGCCCTTTTCTCTGTATCACAAATGGCGTATCTACAGGGGCCAGACAAGTAACCTTACTTATTCAGGCTGGCTGAGTGGTGGCAGAAATAGGATTGGTAGGCTCTGTAGGTTAGGCTGTTTTCTCTGAAGTGTACAGCCACTCCTCAGCTCTATTTGATTATTGCTGTACACTGTGTGGCCCCAGTAGCAATAATCCCTACCATTTTTCATGAAAAGCCTAGAATCTGGATTTTATGTAAAACCTGATTTTAAAATATTGGCTCAAATTTTTTGAAAATGTTGTGCAAGCCAAAATGATCACAGCTGTAGACTGCTGGTGGACATCCTGTGCTATGTATCATGTGCCCTTCCATCCATGGCCACCCGATCCCCTTCTTCCTGACAGTACTAATGGGAATGTAGGTGGAGTGGTGCCCCTATAAGAATAAAATGTCTATTTCCCAAATGTCCCGTCTTTAGTAATATTCTGTTAATTAGTTAATGAACTATCCATGGAGTTCTATTTTATTAGTGTTTCTATAAGGATTAAAAGGATGACCCATTGTGCTGTTTTTTGTGTGTGCATCTCATAGTGAATTGTTTGCTCATGGGCTTTATAATTTTGGATTGTGAACTCACCTTCAGTGGAGTTTTATCTTGAGGTTCCTATGAGACTATGTTGAAGAAGAGTTGTTCTACAGTGATTTTGCATTTTATTTCTGCCATGGGCCAATTTCATGTTAATTTCATTGCTTACTTCTTGGATCATTTAGACAATGTAAATTTGAATTGCACATTCAATGTTGGCAGGCCTATTGGTTATTAATTTCCTAAGGAATTCTTTTTTCTTCCCATCAAAAATGCTGGCCAAGGAGACGACTGTCTTTGTCTTCCTCCTTTGCCAGTGGGTGGGTTTGTTCTAATTTGCCTTTCTCTTAAGGAATAGTCTTATAAGGATTCCAGCTTTAAATAGAGGTCTTATTTTCAGCTCCATGCTTTCTGTATGCCCAAGACCTCCTCTCCTGAATGGACATTAGGACACAAAGCCCTTATTCAGAAGGAGGCAGACCACAGGGCTCATTCAGCATCATCCCACATATGTAGAGTTTTGCTTTTTCAATTCTAGCTGTTTTTGGCACTTGAGGGTTTTTCCATACTTTCTGGTGAGCCAAGCTATGCATTTGGAATGGTGTTAGTTATATATATGTGTGCATATATATATATATTTATTATTTATTTATTTATTTATTTTTTTGGTGCTTCTAGGTGTTTTGTAACCAGAGAATTCTTATAATGGTGCTGAAAACAGAAGTGTTGACCATTTCTTTATTGGCCTTTTAAAGCATTATAAGACTTCAAAATACAAAGGGAGTTGAACCTTAGTTTAAAAATAATGCAACTTTGTTATTTCTAAATGGAGTCATTTTCTGAACACATTCTTGTTCAGAAAGATGACCTTGCCATTTCTAGGGTTAATCTTTAAAGATCTGTATGCACTGATTTACTTAAGGGGCAGCAGTCAACCATCAGTGCTGGGTTTATATTAAGAAATAAAAGATTAATATATGAAAGGCACATTATTTCTTGCCATAGTTTAATGAGTTCCATAACTATACAATGGCCACTTTTCTGTGATAGACTTAGTGCTGCACATATTTTCTGAGGAATGGGAATCATATATATTTAGAAAAATATATATTTCTTGTTCTATTAAGATTTACTTGCCTTTCCGTTGCCCTTTCAGTGAAAAGCTACTGAAGTATGACCACTACTTAGTGCCGTTCACTCTGTTTGAATTGGCATTTTTATATAAAAGCCAAGGGGAAATTGACAAGGCCATAAAGTTCCTAGAAACTGCAAGGTAAGTGTTGAAGGCAGCTTTTCCTTGATTGTTATAGAGTCAGAAATGTCAATGCTGCTATAACAACAGCAGTAATATTATATACTTAAAAATTAATTAATGTCAAATTAGTAATCATGCTACTTTTGCTAACTTCTGATTGATTTATACTCATGGCTTTTGCTGTAATTGTGCTGTTTCCAAAACCCTCTTACTGTCTCATTCTGTGACTATTTACAGATGTGATTATGGGCATCTATCTGAAAGACTTCTAACTTATTCTATATCAGGGGTTGGCCAGCTTTTTGTGGAAATGGCTAGATAGTAAGTATTTTTAGCTTTATACCATAAGGCCTCCATTCCAACTACTCCATTTTATCAAAAGAAGTCATAGAAGGTAATATGTAAATAAATGGGTGTGCTTTATTTGGAGCCTGGGTTGCCAGCCTTCGAGGTATTCAGCCATGTCTATTATTTTCTTGAAGAGCCATTGATCTTGTGAAGGTTGCAGATCTTACCCAGACTCCTTTTTTTTTTTTTTCTGTTTATTTTGGCAGTTTCAAAATATTTTTATCATTCTGATAGACAATAGCTTTTAGACCCATGATCATGGATCACTTAGGTAAGGCAAAAACCCTGTGGCCTGTTTGCCTCCAGTACTTCCTGTAGTAGAGAAAGAATGCCAGAGTAGCTCTAGGTCATAAATCACTATTTATGAGTGATTTAGAGTAGCTCTAGGTCATAAATAGTGATTTGTTCATTTATTCAAATTCAGCAATTATTCACTGAGCACTTATTATGTGTTAGAAACTAGCGAAGGCTTTAGAGAGACAACTGTAAGCAGGCAGTGTTTCTGCTCTTAGCCAGAGGGAGATATTAAATAGACAAGAAAAATATCAGTGGTATGTGTTCTGCTGAGATTTATAATATGATGCATGGTGCCTGGATGTTACTTCATGTTAGATTGAAATATTTCCTTGAGGAAGTGATATTGTAGCTGAGATTTACATAAGTAAAGCCAGTCTTGAGATCAATCATCAGAAGTCGACCAACTAACTAGGTAGGGAACATTCCTGGCAGAAGTCATAGTGAACATCTGCATTGAGGAGGTTGAGCCACTGGGTCAATGATGATGCTTTTTGCTGTGCTGGGGAATACTTAGAAGAGCATGTTTGGGGAGAGAAGGAAACATACTTCTGTTGAGACTATGATTCTTTGAGATGGCTATTAGGTACTCATATTAGGTAGATGGCAAGTTGGCATTCATACTTGGCACGGAGTTCAGCAGTAGGGTCAGGGCTGAATGTAGAGATTTCAGTCAACAGCACAGAGATAGTGATATTTAAAGCAATGGCACATGATGAAGTCATTTTGCGAATGTGCTATAGCTAGAGAAAGAGGTCTAGTACAGTGTCTGGTACTGTATATGGCATCTTCTTAGGCATTCAGTGATAAGATTAAGAAGATTAAGAGTATTAGGAAGACATCTAGGAAAGCCAACCAAATAGTGCTTCAAAAAGAAGAGCGTGGTTAGTTATGAGGGCAGCAGCTGAGAGGTCACACAGGGTAAGACTAGAGAAGTGGCTGCTGAATTGGGCAGCATGAGGATCACTGGTGAACCTTGACAAGTGAGGTGACAAATGAAATGGAGGTAGCTACTTTAGGCCACACTTTTAGGATGTTTGCTGTGAATAGAACATTGTAATGGGGCAAAAGCTTTACGGGCATGGTAGAGCCAAGAAGGGCTTCCTTCAAATATTTATATATAGGTGATATGACAGCAAGTTGCTTTTAAAGTCAGTTTGTTGGGAGTATGACCAATATTTTATGTGTTACATAGAGATATCTTCAAATCCAGCTATTGGAAAATTATGGATTATAAATACTTCTGTTCCAAATATTCATTATTTGAATACACAATGTGCAATAAGGCAACTTTATAATGACAAAAATAAAAGACCTGTAACTCACTGCTAAAAAGCAATGAAAAGCCTCCACTAACTCAAGACAACACTGATGATTCAAACATAAAGATACTTCCCAGTAATTCCAAGACTGTAGTCTGCACTTTCCCTTCATGTATTAGGAGCTTTGCAAAGTTCCCCAGATTGGTGGGCAGACATTTAGGAAAATACTCAATTCCATCCTTTGGTAAACTCCAGTAAAATGTTGATTTTAGTTTATGAATAATACATTTTATTAACCCTTATCATCATTACCACTGAGTAGCCCTCACACCTGTTTAAAATGAAGGGCTATAGAAGTGTCACTGTAAAGAAAGTGATTCTAGCTCACCCATGAACCAAGGAAGTATGTAAAAGTATTCCATTTTTCTGATTCTTAACAATTCTAGTAAAGGAAGGTCAACATAAATGCTCTTAAGCAGGTTTTAAATAATCTTTGGATTTCTGTGGCCCCTTTTAAAGACATTGACCTAATTATTATGTAATTATTGGCCAAACCATTGATATTTGCAGGTGAGAATTGGAATAAGTAATTTTGATGTCATTAGGTAATTCTGCTGTCTTTGCTGCAGTTGTTTCATTTGGGTTTCTTGAGTGATTGATCTGTGTGATCATGCTCACCATGGTTATATGCCCCTACCTTAGAATTTTTCAATTTAAAAAAGGAAGTCTAATTATTTAGGACTAGTTCACAAAATTTGTACAGCCCTCTTCACAACTTTCTTGCTGTGCTTATGAATGGTTTGGTAATTAAGCAGAACCTTGCTACTCAAAGTATGACCTTTAGATGACCACCAGGAATCTTATAGAAATGCAGATTATTGCAGTTCTCCCAAAGATCCCCCCAACAGAACCAGAATCTGCTTTTTACTAACATCTACTCTTATGCGTATTAAAGTTTGAAAGCAAATAAGCAGATCGGAGAGAGGAATGGGAGGGTGGTGGTACCCTGGTATATAAAGACATTTTGACTGTACAATTTTATTATTGTTTTTAGGAACAACTACAAAGATTACTCCTTGGAGTCCAGACTACACTTCAGAATTCAGGCAGCTCTTCACCTCTGGAGAAAACCTTCCTCAGATTGATCAGAACTTGAAGGATAGAATTTTCCCTCAATTAGCATCAGCATCTGCTATAGAATAAACCTTATATTAAAGTTGAAACGTGATCTTGTGAATAAGAACAAAAAAATGTTATTGTTAATATTTTCTATCATCTGAGAGGTTTACTGTTGGTCTACACAATTTTTTTTTCCTATGGAATGGCATTCTATATTATCTAGAAAATTCTTATATTTTGCCTCCCCCAAAATAATTTCATATTAGATTTGAATTGGGGTAAAGAAGCCTTTTAAAAGACTTGCAAATGCAATAGTCTAATTAGATTATTTATTTTTTTAATGTGGAAATTAATATTGTTTAGCAACTAGCTTACAAGTTGAGCCAATTTTAGAATTGTTGGGTAGTTAAACTTCAGAGATATTTTGTTGCCTAGTACTTAAATTTCAGAAGGTAGATAAGTATCACATTTAAAATAGTTTAACAGTGACCTTCAAAAGACTTGTGAAAAAGACAGTCTGAGAACATGAACACAGATGGGCTATAAAGTACTTCATAGGTTGAAAAGACCTGCATCTATAAAGGATGATGCAGTATTCAATTCCTGGTTTTTTACTCTTCATTTGAATAAATGGTGGTGACATTTTGGAGAGACTGGGTTTAAATGTACTTAAGTCTATTATAATAACAAAATTCAAAACCTCCTGTGTATTTAAAGGGAAGAAAGTATCATATTTTAGGAATTTTTCTTAACCTTAGCAATGAGAACCTAAAATACATATATAGGTTATTTTTCTTATAGGTAGTAAAATTCCTGCTGCTTTAAATGATATGTAAAATATCAGTAATTTTTACACTTAAGATGTTGGCAAGACCTAATTTTCTAATCTCTCTAGCACTGTGATGTCTCCTTGTAGATATCTGGACCTCACTTAGTTCTTGGGAAACAGATTCAGGGCATGGAGCAGAAGAGAGCTTGACACCCCATATGGTCCTTGTTCTGCTCCTCTATTAGCAGTTAGTGAGGTGACCTTTAGCGAGTCCACTGTGCCCTGTGTGTCACCATATTTTCTTCTGTGAAATCTAAATTAAAGAACAGATGACTTTCAAGATCTCTTTCAGTTTTATAACTGTGAGTCTATGTAATACGTATTTATTTTCAACAAAGAACTTTATAATGTTGAATGCAAACCATTCCCACTTGGAGTGTTTTATATTTCAGTCATCACCATTGCCCCTCATCCCCCACATGTGTGTGTTGTGGCCAAGGACCAGGTTGCATCCAGAGTGAGGAAAGGAAATTTATGAGTTGATGAATCTGGGCCTTGTCTTATTTCTGTTTCTATTTGGAAGAATAACTTGTCGCGGAAGCCTCTGCAGTTTAACAGAAGGAGCCGCCTATTGGGAGTCAGGAGTTCATTTCTGTGGGCTAATAGTTCTGTGACACGGAGTTAGTAGCTCAGCTTTTCGGGGGCTCAGTTGCCCCAGTGTGGATAGCAGTGTGGTATTTGGTACTTGTGAGGGTTCAATTAGATAAATCATATGATAGCTTTTTGTAAACTGTAAAAGGCTATACAAAAGTATGAGTTATTGTAATAATTATGGTTTATACGCATGGGTTACAGTATCAACATATGAGTAGTGGCTGATACTGTGGTCTGTGTTGTAAAATGAAAGAAGCATAGAAATTCAAATACCTTTCAGTATATTCATGTGTTTGATGTTGACAGTAGCCCAGGTTATATGAACTTGCTCCTGTCGTTCCCTGCCACGTGGACCTGTATCAAGAAATGTGTGGCTTCTTTTCCTTAAAGTACTGATTATTGACCAACACTGAGGATATATATCCAATGAAAGATGATTAATAGAACTCAAGTCGGAGTACCACCCCTTCGATACTATGGCAGTAGATATCAATGTGTTATTAATAGTATAACTTTAGGTACAGACAAAATAGAAAATAAAATTAACTGTCATTATAATTAGTAGTGGAAAACATTAAAAATTATTTGTGTATAGCTTTGGAAAAAAGTTTATGAAGTTCTTAGAAGAGCTTTGGTAACATTATTTTTGGAAGCATACACCCACATTGTGACTGTGGGTACGCTGAGCATTCTTACTTTGTTACTGTGAGAAGCTGCAAGCCAGTAAAAAAATTGTCTTTTGGGTATAAAATGAAACAATATTAAGCTTAGAGTGGCCATTTTTATTTTAACTCCACATTACTAAACAAATATAAAAGAAATTCATCTCCATATAAAAATCTTTTGTCATTTATATTTTATTTCATTTTTATATCCTATTCTTTGAATAGTTACCTGATACCATGGACAGTATATCCAGTGGATCTTTTAGTACTACTATAATATCAAAATGCTACAAATATTTATGTTTCCTGCTATGTTCAAAATATTGTAGTGGCACCAACTTCTTGTGGCATCAGCTAATACTGCATTTTGGAGTTATTAGGGTGCTCTGTGAAGAATGAATACTAAAGTGACAGTTTGATCTAGTTTTTTGAGGGACATTTATGATGGGGTTGGGTTGCCATTGTGTCTTGACAGTGCAATTCACGTAGTTCCTGGCATAATTGGCTTTTTTTTTTTTTTTTACTTAATTTTTCCTAATGGAGAGTCAGCGTTCTGAATGGTGCTATATAAATTTAAGTAAGTATATAAATTTAAGTGCTTTGTATATTAAGTGCTATATATATTTAAGTAACTATATAAATTTAAGTGCTTCGAAGGGATGATGACAAGGCAGGCATGATTTCCTCTTGACAATGAATGAAAGGTGAACTGCATCAGCTCTTATCTGAACATATATTTTAATGTTTTCTATGCCCTTTGATAAAAGAAGTTTCCAAGTTATATAGGAAAATTAAGCACCGATCCTGCCTTCATCCTCAGAGAGCAGAGGTGAGACAAGTGGATAAAAGCTGTAGGAAGCTGAATTCCAGATGAATCAGCACCAAGGAAGATTTTTCATTATTGGAAAACCCAGCAGTCTACAATCGATAACCAGTTCTTCTGCAAAGGGGTGAGTTTAGCAGGGCTAATGTGACTGCCATTTCTGCCTGTCCTAGCAGCTTAGACTAATTGAACTTTGAGGTCACTCTATGATTCTTTTATTAGGGCTTCAAATCAGTGGAGAATGTGTGAAGAAAAAATCGCCCCCCCCATTTCAAATAAAAGTGAATGTTTTCTCTTTCAAAGCTACTATTAGAGGTAGTTGTAATAGACACTAACAATCTCTGCTGTTAATACTTACGATTCCACTCCTTTTTAAAGTGAGTCTGTTGATCTTCATAAATAGAGGGGTTTTCCCCAGCGTGGACATTAAAAATAATTTTTTAAAAGTTCTTTGTGGCCAATTGGAAAATCTTTTGGAATTATCTAATTCTTCATTCATTTTGTATTTCATTCATTCATTCCGGTATTTCTGTTTTTTCCCCCTCCTGTTTATAATTTCTGTATTTAGAAATCTTAAATTGAAATACATTTAGTTAAAATGAGTTAATGAAGACTCCAGTGATGTTTTAATACCCTAAGATATTATGATTCCTTGGTCCTGGAATGGATCTTAGAAAATTATCTCATCCTCATGAGCCTGTAAGCAGAGCCTGTAAGCAGAACCTGTAAGCAGAGCCTGTAAGCAGAACCTGTAAGCAGAGCCTGTAAGCAGAACCTGTAAGCAGAGCCGTAAGCAGAACCTGTAAGCAGAGCCTGTAAGCAGTGTTGTTTCCCCTCAGTCCTGCTCTGTCCAGTCCCGGTAGCCCCTCGCCACATGTGGCTGCGGAGTCCTGAATGACTTACAGCGCATGTGGGAATGGGGCTGAATGCTAAGGGAGCATTCACTCATAAGCGCTGCACTTCTCCTTAAAGGCCTCCCAACGGCCTCCTTTCTGGAGATCTGGCTTTTACTTGCTGTCTGCTATGATAACCTGATTTGTGCTTCACATACATATCTGTGAAGTTTGCTTTTTCTGTTTAAGTGCCCTTAAACTTTCATTTCATCATATTTATTCTGCAGACAATCAATGTCATTGGCATATTTGAACATTATTCTGCCCTCCCTCTGCTAAACTCCTTATGGACTAGATGGAGAGATTTGATTTTTGAGATTATGATTTTAATTTGATTTTACAGACATTCTTTGCTTTTTTACAAAACACAGTTGTTAAGAGTCATAGAAGAGTGATTCTCATCTTTGAGAAGATAAATTTCATGATTAATATTTTCTAAGATAAAATTACTCTAAGAAATCTAGTGAAACCTTTTCAATTGCTTTGTCATTAATGTTTCAACACTGACTCTCTCAACTAGGCCAATATTACTATTTAAAGGTTTTTAGAAGCTGGGCATGGTGGCTGATGCCTGTAATCCCAACACATTGGGAAGCCTAAGTGGGAGGATCACTTGGGGCCAGGGGTGTGAGGCCAGCCTGGGCAATATTCTTTATAAAAACCAGAAAATAAGCTGTGCATGGTGGGGTGTACTTGTAGTCCTAGCTGCTGGGGAGACTTAGGTGGGATAATCACTTGAGCCCAGGAGTTTGAGGCTACGGTGAACTAAGATCATGCGATATATAAAACCTATATATAACATAAAGATTTATAGACATATGTTACCACTTAGAGAATAATTTTGCAGTTGGTTTATTTAAAATATATATTTAAAGCTGGGCACGGTGGCTTACGCCTGCAATCCCAGCACTTTGGGAGGCCCAGGCGAGTAGACCACCTGAGGTCAGGAGTTTGAGACCAGCCTGACCAACTTGGAGAAAGCTCATCTCTACTAAAAATACAAAATTAGCTGGGTGTGGTGGCAGATGTCTGTAATCCTAGCTACTCAGGAGGCTGATACAGGAGAATTGCTTGAACCCAGGAGGCGGAGTTTGCAGTGAGCCGAGATCATGCCATTGCACTCCAGCCTGGGGATAAGAGTGAAATGTCATCTCAAAAACAAACACACAAACAAATAAAATGACATATTTATGCCTTTTGCTGCCTATTATTATTTTTGAATGTATGATACCTAAGTGATATGCATATATATATGATTAAGACATTTTTATCTCTTTAGATATTTCTTCATAAGATACATGTATCTATAGATAGCTATATATGAAACAACTTACAAATAATAAGTAGACAATGTTTTTATACAGTTCTTTCCAAAGAAACACAGGATTTTTTCAAATTCTCCCTCCCCCAGTTCAGTTATTTACATATTTTTGTCTTTAAGTGTTAGATTGCTTGTTTCTACTGCCTATTGTTGATAGTTTTGTCTTTTATACATTTGCTGTTAGATTTAGTTACTTTGAAATGTTGAAATGTAATGAAAAGGACACATGAGAATTTATCATCAGGGAACATATCTTTTATGTTGAGCAGTTGCTATCTGATCTTGACAGACTCTCCTCTTAGAAGTCTGTTCTAGTCATTTTGTAACTTCATAGCTGCTGAAAGAAATGATGCAAGGACTGTTTCATGGACTGAGATGGCTGAGCAGGCTCTTGGCCTGAATTATCCAGAGGAGATAGTTGGATCTAGCTTCAGAGGAAGTCTATGCCTCGTTCCCTTCTGGTTACAATGTACCCAGGACATGTGTTTAGCACAGTAATAATGTAACAGGATGTTGCATGGAAAAATCAAAGCAGCTGCCTCACTGTATTTAACTAAAAAGAATGCCTACAGGTTGGATATTTAATAGGGAAAATCAAGGTACTTTAATAACAAACTTCACTATGTAAAGCTTGTTGAATATTAACATACAGTATACCTTGCATATTAATCTCATAGTTTTTAGAAAGACCAATTTAAACACTGAATGTAAGGGATACTGGCATATCCCAGTGACAGCTTCAGTTTTTATTGCTGCTTAATATTTTCTAGCAAATTAGTTTTAATTATTGGTAGTCTGTTGGGCACCATTTGGGGAAGAAACAAATTTGTCTCAGTGTAGCAGACTGATAGTCAAAAAATTTGGATAAAGAATGAGTATAATAAATAATATTATTATTTCATTTTTAAAGGAATTATATTATTTTGAAGTGCGGCATGGTTGATACTGTTTGGCTGTGTCCCCATCCAGATCTCATCTTGATTTGTAGTTCCCACAATCCCCACATGTCGTAGGAGAGATCCGGTGGGGGGTAATTGAATCATGGGGACAGTTTACCCCATGCTGCTCTCATCATAGGGAGTGAGTTCTCAGGAGATTTGATGGTTTTATAAGGGGCTTTTCCCCCTTTGCTCAGTACTTCTCCTTCTTGCCGCCCTGTGAAGAAGGTGCCTTTCTTTCCCTTCCTGTTCCACCATTGTAAGTTTCCTGAGGCCTTCCCAGTCATGCAGAATTGTGAGTCAGTTATACCACTTTTTAAAATAAGTTATGCAGTCTCAGATATTTCTTCATGGCAGCGTAAGAATGTAGTAATACAGTGGTCTTACTAATTTGAAGGTATGACACTCTGCTTTGGAAATAATGTAGACATTTTTAAGTCATTCCTATTTTTAATGTAGACAAATGTCCAGGTAGCAATTTTGGGAATAACAAATGAGTTCAGCTTTTATTCACTTTTTTTCCCCAAAGTGATTTATTCTTCAATGTAGACAGTTACTTTCTATAAAGTGATTTGTTTTTTGTTTAAGAAAATAATTTACATAAACAGATTATGGTAAATATTTTAAGTCTTAGGCTGTTGGTTAAATTTAATGGCTTAAGCACTGTTGAGTTCCATTTAATATTTGTAGAAGGAGAACATATGTGCTTCACTGATATGCATGGTCTAGAAAAATTACTTAATTCTCAAGAATATGTTGCATTGTCATAATGTGTTAAGGAAAATTCTATAAGTAGTTTGTTTTTTTTTCTTTTGCTGACTGTTGACATCCAAACACCTGAATGAAAACTGACTCATTTATGTATTGGTGTTTAAAATATTGAATTGCAAATGTTCTTAGAACACTTGCATTTTTTTATTCAAGTTGCTAAATCAAATGTAAAGGCAAATATGTATATTTAATAAGTGAGAAGTATTTTTTATTACTGAAATTTATTCTGAAGCAAATGTATTTTGTAGATGTTTCATTTGGGAGATTTTGCTTTGCCTTAAAACATATAAAATAAACCTGTCTTCTGGTCTGGCCACTTAAAAACCTCTGTTAACTTGACATGTAGAAGGATTTCAGAATTTTTTGATAATGTGTGGTTTTCACTTTTGTTTAGATTAAACAAAAATAAAATGAGAGTCCATAGCACTTTGTAAAATAATGTGAAGTTTCCTGTTGAATCATCAAAGCTACCTGTATGTAGTTTATAATTCAGTGTTCTGTTAGTAAAAATTGTCAGCATTTTATCTTTCTCTCTTCTCATTACATTTTAGTCTTCTGTCTTTCCCACTCAGCGGTCACAGTTCTGCAGAGCAAAACATTTTTAGAATCTGAAGATGTGTGAGTTCTATATAAATTGAATGTGTTAGTAACATCCATCTGCTGATCAAGTAGGCATTGGATCTGGTACTAAGTGAAATTGATTGTAGCTATCAAAGCATTTTATCAATGTAAGTCAAGAAAAAAGAAGAAAACTGTGAACTTCTGATATTTTTAACATAAAAACTGTTCCCAATGAGTATTCTCTTGCTGATTTTGTGTTAATGTTATCATCTACGATTTGAAAGCTAATGCTAATATAAAATCCAAAATTTCAACATAACAACAGTTCCTGTAGCCTATTTTTACCATTAAGACGTTTTTGAAAACAGATGTCATCTTAGAAATTGTATTTTTAAATGCAAATATGTCATCCCAACTTGAAAGTCAACACATTTTATTTTTCATTCCTTAGTATGACAGAATAAGCTGTGTTTAGATAAAGGTTTAATTTGCCAGATTTTCTCAGAATTCTATATTTTCATATTGCTACAACTGGTTTACTTAACATGCAATTTAATTGTCATTTAAATAAATTACAGTTGATGGAATTGTAGCCTTATTCTAGTTGGTCTACATGTGGAAGCAGCACATGACATCTGTTTTGCTGGTCTTTCATTGTCAATGTGATATAAACTGGAGTTTTTGTTTCTTGGTAAGATTTTTTTTTTTTTAAATCGTAATATACAGGTATGAAGGCCTTTCTCTCTACCAAGTTCTTGGCGAAGCCCTGGACATGAAGAGATAAATGGGATGGTACAGTTGTCTCAAGGAAGGATTGCCTTTTCTATCATTGTTTTGTAATTTATTTAATAGCTCAGAGAGTTAGATTAGCTGCTGACATGCTCGGTTTAAGGAGCCATCTTTAGCATTCAGCGTATAGCGCAGTGGAAGAAGTAATAGGCTCTGGGAATCAGGAGTTCTGTATT